TCGCTGGAAGCTTCTAGATTACCATAGTTTTCCGAATAATTTCAGATCACCCTTATTTCCTTTTGTGGTCCATAATAATGTCATAAAAAGCACAAGCACAACCACAAAATTTCTGTTCTCCTTCCCGAATCACTTGTCAGTGACATGATTGCTCTACGGAACAAATTTTAATTTGATTGCAACATTTCACTCCTAAAATTTATTTATTTTTTTTATAAGGGCAATAAATAATACATTAAGTTAATTAATTGTTAAAAATTAAAAATTTGACCTCTAAATAAGGAGTAATGATGCAGCGGACGAAAATGTGGGACGAAAATAGGGAACAACAAGTGATGTAAGATTTATGTATGTAGTGTAATTATCAATTTGACTCTCTTACATCACTTATCATCTTTCATTTTCGTCTTACATTTTCGTCCGTTGCATCATTACTCGTAAATAAGAGTGAACATTACCCTTTTTATGGAAAAACGTGACACGATGAGCCGCATGCTAAAGCTCCCTGTCACTCGTAAAATTATGGCTGCTGAATTGAGCTTGGAAACTTGAATTAAAAAAAAAAAAAAAAAACTTGTACTTAAGATACGTAGTGTAATTAACATATTTTTAATTATTAATTTTAATATGAATATTATGTAATTTAATTTAATTAATTAATTATTAAAATTAAAATTAAAATTTATTTTTTATAGAATTTAATAATAAAAATTAGATTAATTACTTTTTTTTTTACTTGTCACGAATAAAAAAAATAAAGAAAATTTCCCCAATTATTGTTTTTCATAAAGCAATTATACTGTACATCAATAGTTGCAGTTGTTGACTGCATCTTAGATTATAAATATTATTATAATTTAAATTTTTGTGATGTGATTCTTTTTTTTTTTTCTTTTTTTTTTTGAACAAATTTTGTAAGGAATGGGTTTTCAACCCTGTTCGAAGTAATAAACCAGTGACTAATGCTACTAATTCTCAAGAATCAGGTGCGTGATTTTTTTTTCTCTAATCTTTCAATGTAAAAATGATAATAATAATAATAAAAGAAAAAACAATTAATAGCCTGTACCATTTCTTTCGTAATCCACGAAAATGAGAACTTTTCAAGTTTTGGCCCTTCAACAAGATTAATTTCTAGCCACCACTGGCAACTCATAGCTAACTCCATACCAGCCAGAAAATGAAAGGCACCATATGTTTATGTCACAATTCAATTATTAAAAATTTTAAATTTAATTTTTAAAATAACTAAATTAAAATTTTAAAAATTAAAAATTATTTTTTATTATATAACATATTATTCCACGTTAAAAAAAGAAATTGAAGGGCACCATGCTTGTTTCAAACTAATAGGCAACCATCATGAATTCCATAACTAATGTATAACTTTTGAGTAATGATATAAAAGATGAAAATACATGATCAATGACATAATTTGTCGATTATATATCATGTAAAATTCTCTTTAAAATAATACTTTACTGAGATGACAGCTACCTCATGTTTACCATCTATTTTTGTCCCACTTTATCGTCTCAATTATCATTATTCATAACTTTTAATGCTAAAAGGAATTAAAAGAAGGAGACAATAATTTCTATAGTTTATTTCTTTTGGACCTTTTGGCCCCTCTTTTCATTCTCGAGATGTCCCCGTTAGTGGGTGGCAAATTGATTAGGTTAATGCATTTTGAAACATTCACTTGTATTCCTTGCTTTTCCGAAAGAAAGACATCATTCAATTTACCACACTTGATTGCCCTATGGTTTAACTTTTAAAGATTTAGCCTTTGTTTAGAGTCTTGGGTTGTGTTATAATCATATATTTTTTTTCTTTTATTTTTGTAATTCTAAAAGTATTATAAAATATTAATTAAAATTATTTAAAATATTATTAAGATTGCACTTAACTCTTATGGCACAATGACTAGTGCTATTAAAAAAGTGCACATCCTTCTCTCCTAAACAGGTTTCAAACCCGCCCCATAACAAAAAGTTCAAAAAAAATATTATTAAGATTAATTATCTATTCTATAATATATTTACATTTTTAGATATGTTATTGTGAGAAAAAAATGCTGCATCAAACATTTCAAAATGGAACTTTGAATAGTTTTATGCAATATAAGATTATAATTTTATAATGATAAAATGACATTAAATAAATAATAATATATAATATCTTGTGTATTATTTTTTAAATATAATTAATTATAAATTAAATTTTATAATATTAAATGATATTATTAATTACAAAATTTAAATAAAAGACT